GAAGAACTTCCCACCGTTTAGAACAGTGAATAGATCGTTGGGTACTGGTAGTTAGCTGCATTTAGGCCGGTTGAGAAATCGGCACTGCCCAGGCAGAGTAGGATACAGGGGACAGAACGCCTTGTTCTTCCAACCGTTGAAGCTCGGCATCTACCAGTGGGGGGGGGGAAGCCTACGGAACTGGTCTCTTTGGACGGAAAACTGGCGTAGATCCATGCACGATGTGGAGGAATGCTTGTGTAGCAGTGCACTGACCGAGATCGGATTGGAAAACAAATGGAAATCGCATGATAATGTCGGATGCATGATCTGCATGCGCCGTGGGAGACTGAACTGCATTGCAAATGACACTGATTGGAATGTCGGCTAACCCCAGGCGATCGAACCAATCAAGATGATGATGATGAATGATGACAAACTGATCGCCGCCCAAATTTACTCAGCAAGAAATCTCCTTTGTCAATCGCGTTATAAAAACAGGCACCTCGTTAGTAATGCGTGGCAGACCAATGATTTATGAAAAGGTGGTTATCGAGTAAGCCATGGCAACCGTCCCTCCGCCCATTGTTGTGAAAACGGCTAGTCCACAAGATTTCGCACTTGTCACAGCTATGCGGCAGACCCGAATCAGTCACAATTTTGAGGACCAAGACGTTAGCAATCACCGGGGCCTGTCTTACCAACTCAGCAAGTTGACGTAAGCTTAAGGGTTGTGATGATCGATTGACTCATCGGACGTTTCTCACAGTAAATGGAATTCATCTCAACCGATAGTGCTGTGGCCTTTGGGGATTGGTTTGCGGTCACGCGATCGTTGGTTCACCCTTGGTGCTCGGGGCAGTGTTGCGTCTGTATGGTACACTCCGCTCTCGTTTTTTTCTATCACAAGGTGGACCAAGTGGTTAGAGCGCGAATTTACTGACCGGAAGGTCCGTGGTTCGAACCCGACCTCTGCCTCTCGGCTTCCCCTGTCTAGGCTTGGGCGACCTGGCAGTATCCCAGCGCTCGTGCGGCATGGCGGCTAGGCACCGAAAGGGTGCTACAGCTGAACGATTCATTTTTTCTGTCACAAGGTCAGAAGCATCCTGGACGGCAGAATTTTGGTAAAATAATGCGATACCTAAACATGTTAATCTACCTTCCTCTTGTAAATGTATACAGTCATTTTGGACCGTACGGTTGTTCTTGTGTCAAGTTTGAAGGTTTCCAGTGGAGTGAAGATTGATCAATACCTAATCGAAGCTTGCCTCTTACCACCGCGCGTGGGTAGCTACGAGTCGGTATGCCCACAAAGCCAACTTTTCCCCATGCAGATAGCCGAAGCAAAGTACGAATAGATTTAACTGAATCCAAATTCAAAACAGGCTGCATTCAATACTTCCCTTGACTTGATCACCATCGTAAAATTTATATAATCTTGCTTATTGGAGCGCTCAAAAATTAGGTGCAAAACAGGATAGGAAAGGTGACATTTTCATTTCATTTTGTGTAAAACCTGTACGTCCTGGATATCCATATCTTTCAACTCAAGTCAACTTTGTACTGTACTTTTCTGTACTTTACTGTACTTTCTGTACTTTTCCATATCTTTCAACTCAAGTCAACTTTGTAAGGTGTGTTTTGCAATACATCCTCTGTACTTTTCTGCTACTCCTCACTCAGTCGGCTATTCACACACTCGTCCTCTGTATCCATGTTTCTTTGTAATGTCCATACTCCGTCTCCTCAACAGAATCTACGCATACACGCGTCCTCTACCTGTCTGTGCTCTCCATGCTTATCCTCGTGAGCTTCGCGGTCTGGCAAGTTCTCTACCTTCGTAGATACTTCAAGTCAAAGAAATTAATCGAATGAGTAATCCCTGTGTTATTTCTTTGACCGCAGACTACACGCCTTCGTGAATGTACCCGATTTTTCTCTACCACAATTGTCCGTTTCATAGTGTCCCCCTCTACGAACTGTAAGTCTAAAAGATTGTTGGTTGATAGGTTTTGTCAAGTGGTTTACCAATACTGTACACAGCAACCTATCTCCTGGCTTTCGCGTGATACTCAGCCAACTTAGGAACGCATTCGGTCGCGCCATTATGCTCCTTGGTATCACGGCCTTATCTTGTCTGATGTGTATTTCCGCTCACCTTCCCAAATTCGTTTCCCAACTTCACAGTGTTCGTTGCTAGAAAGTGTACTCTTTATCTTGCTATTTTCCCTTTCTTACACACCGAAGTGTTGTATTAGACTTTCCCGTTGTTTCTAGAAATGCTTCTACAGCGGACATCGTTTTTATGTCCAATCTATGGATAAGGTGAACTAATTGACTGGTGAGGTTTCCGAGCTATGGTATTTTCGACATACTCTATTTATGAGTCATTTGGAGGCAATAAAAGGTTGTCCAGTGGTTTGTCCACTTTTATTGTGTTCTCCGTCTTTATTCAGCCATGTTCAGTGTATCAAACTAGAGGTGACGGTGCTCCAAACGCCTCGGCAGATCTGACGATTGTGGCATGCGAAACCGAATCAAAGATTTCGAGATATCAACAAACGCCAAGCTGAGGTTAGAAGGAGTCGCTGAAGAATGATGGAGCAGGGCATGTAACAGTGATGTAGCTTCCAAACAGCCGTCTCGACGCAGAAATGCAAACTGAAGTAAGGGTAGTTGCACTGTGCGACTTTAGCGATCAGCAAGCACCAGACAACATTGGATGACGCGGAGATCGGTCTCAATTGATCTGGTGAAGTCGAATTTGAACCTTCGGAACTAGGGTAATACTACACAACACAGATGTGGGGGACAACCACCAGATAACAAGAGTAGGTTGAAATACCCAACGAGCACGTTAGCATTGAACCGGTGGAGCATCTTTGGCGTGAGCTTGTCCAGGCCTGAGGACGAATTACCCATTAAACGGATCGTACGGCTGACTTCCTCTCCTATAATTGGCTCGATCAAGCTCGAGTCGTATGTTAGTACTATGCGACTTGGCCGGATATCCACGTGTTATGGAGCTGAGAGCACCTGTTTCTAATACTACTCGGAGTAGGCCGGAGGTAGGCCATAGTTAACTTTGTATAGATGCTTCCTTGAATCATCGAGGTGGATGAGAAAGGGACTTAGTGCTGGCTTACTACAATCATTCGGAGGTGCCTACACCTCCAAACACTTATTCAGGTAATCTGGGTAGAAACTGGTAACAACATCGCCACTGACATCGGTTGGAAACCATATCTGGCAGCGTCTCCAACCAGGCGCAGAGAGGATCACGCGGTGCCCACTCTAGAAAGCGAGTAGCACCGATAGCACCCAAACGTTTTGTGATTTCTTTCATGTCCTCCTGCCAGGTCGAGGGTTGGCCACCTCTCGGCTTACGCCACTCTGAATTGGGCATGGAAAACAGCACTCTCTTCAGCAAACGATAGCTAGGCATACGCAATACATGTCCCAAGCCACGCAGCTTGTTGGGCTGGACTTATTCTTCACATAACCAAAAACCCGCTCTTTAACTGCCTCATTACGGATTCGCTGACACCAACTCACGCGAGCTATGGTTCTGAGACAACGATTGTCGAACACCTGAAGACGTCTCAGGTCCGCTGCTCGAATAGGCCAAGTCTCACAGCCATACAACAAAACAGCCCGCACTGTAGCTTGATACACACGTCCCTACAGATCCAAGGATACATCATTCTGACGCCATAGGTGTCTCAATTTAGCAAACGCGCCCCGAACCTTGCAGATTCGTGCATTCACCTCATCCGTCACACTACAGTCAGAACTAATAC